TTTATTATAACATTATGTTCCCTCTAGTCCCGAATGCAGGGGAGGGGAAACAGCAAATCCACCTACCCTTGCCGCTGGTCTCCGGGCCGCTCCGGTGGTCTCAGCCTCCAGTTCTCCTCTGCAGCCTCCTCCCGTGGAGTCTCCTGGGGTCTCAGGTACCCCTCCTTCCGGCCCTTGTCTGCTGTATGCTCGTCTTCTTGCTTCTTTCCTCTAATTTCTGCTAGAATCTGTCTTTTTTGCAGAGACACTCTGTCTAGCGGTGTTATTCGTCCGCCATCTTGCTCCTCCACCCCAGTTTTTATATTTTGATTCTGCTTCTCTGCCATCTGCTTTTTTATTATTTGATTTCATTATATGGTTCCTTCTGAGGACTAAGAGGGAGAATCTGTTCCATTCCTCTCTCCAGCGTCTGATGATTTTCTGGCAATCTTTGAAATTCTTTAGCTTGTAGATGAAGCACCCAATCTCTCTGCCTCCTTCTTCACATGACATTCTCCCTGTGTGCGTGTTTTTCTCTTTTCCATTATTGTAAGGACACAGATATGTTGGCTTAGCATTCACTCGAATAACCTAATTTTAACTTTTATTTTAAAATAAGGCCACATTCACAGGTACTGGGGGTTAGGATTTCAGCATTTTTGGGGAAGATGCAATTCAATCCCTAACAATCCTATACAGTCCCTAATACTGGGGAAAAAGTACTGCCTGATTTAGGCTCTCCAAATTTCCTTCAAAAGCTCTGTTGGTGTCTATTCCCCCACCTCTCCTCCAGCAGGGCCCCTCCACCTGTGCAAAGCCCTTACTCTCCAGCTCCTGCCCATGCCAAGAATCAAAGCATGCTCCCAGGGTAAAAGTGGCCACAAAATTCAACTCACTTCATTGAAGATCTTGTCTCTTTTGTCTTACTCCTTTCAGCATTGGTTTTCTCAATAGGTCTCCAGTACCTCAGACAGGTGATTCCTATCTTCTACCTGGCATTTCTAGTTGTTTACAGCTCGAGGATTTATGGCCATGTACTGAGTTGAGGAGAAGAAGCCCATTTATGTATTTTTATTATCATTCATTTATTAATTCAACACATATACATTGACCAATTGCTATATGCCAGACACTATTTTAGGCATTGGAGATTTAACAATAAAGCTGTTCTTTTTTTAATCATCTGACATTAAGGTCACACAGTAAAGTTTTTGAGAAAGAGAAAATCGTCACCCTTATGTAAATTATTTTCTGGTATATAAACAACAAATAAAATAAATTACTAAACTATAGGACATGCTAAGTAATGATAAGCATTAAGTAGAAAATTTAAACAGAAATGTTGGAATAGGAGTCACAGAATATTAGTGGGTGGGATTTGTTATACTATGAGGTAGTTAGAAAATGCATTACTGAGAAGATACATTTGAATAATCAACCAAAGGAAGTGAGGGGGTAAGCCATGCATATATCTGGAGGAAGAATAATTGAGACACAGAGAATTATTTTTCATACTTTCTTAGGCAAGAGTATGTCTGGAGTCATGTAAAAAGTTGACAATGACAATGGTTTGTATGTCACCATGGTGTTAAAGAATTGCTAGAGTTGAGCACTGTTAGAGGGAAGCTGGAAATAATGGATATTGTTTGAAAATTAGTGAGTATGAGATTGAGATTACAGAAAGTTTTAAAATGATGGTAATGACAAGGTGTATGGTATGACCATCAGAGTGAACAACTGAGACAGATTAAAGGATGAGATTCCCAGAAGGAAATTTACCAATTGGTCAATTTAGGAGCCCATATATTGTAATTGTCATCTATGTGGATGTTAAAATCTCCAAGATGTATGGCAGAACACCTAGAGTGACAGTTGGGCAGGAGCTGGCACCTTTAAGGTACAAGAAGAAATGACGCTGGAAGCAGTGAATAATTTTTATAAGGAAAAGTGGAATCTAGCATAGTTATATTGAGATTAGAAGCTAGGAATAATCAGGAACTGAAGCAGGAGAATGAGCTGAAAGAGGCAGTGAGAAGCAACCAGAACAAGGTCTCATCTGTAGGCCTTTTGCATGAGAACTATGGGAGAAGAAAATGCCTCACTTTAGTGGAAACATGGAGAGGAGAAACAGGAAAGCAATAAAAGAAATGAAATGTTCACATAAGACACTGGACTGGTGGAGATTCTGCTTGTTATTGACCCGAGATCCAAAGGATCAAAGGAAAGGAGATTTGGGGTGTGTGTGTGGCAGGGGATGAGATTTATGATGAACACAGGAAAGTTATAGTGCTGGAAGGATTCAATAGATAAATATTCTCTTAAAAAACTGGTAATCCCTAGTTGGAAAAAAATTCATGCAATATCTTCAAAATCAGGGAACTCACAAATCTTCTGGATTTGCTATGGAATGTTTTGGAAGAGCATAATCCACTTTACTGTTATCTGCGAATATAGAATTTTTTTTTACTGCTACTTAGAATGGTGCTTGGCAATAATAAGTTGTGATTAATATCAACTTGAACTTATTTTGAGTGAAAATTATTTCTGTGGATACTCCTGATGTCGGGTGCCTGTGACAGGGCTGATAATTGTCCACTAAAAACCCATTCCCCCATCCTGTGCAGTGAGAGATGTGTACTTGTCATGACCAACCAAGTACAGCGTACTTTGCTCAGCCTCCTGTGCATCCAGGTGTAGCTCTGTCACTAAGTTTTTGTCTATTGAAAGGAAATGAAAGGGATATGTGTAACACACAGGGGAGAATCTAAAATATTGCCTCTGTGTTTCTGCAGTTTATTTGCCCTGTAAACTCAAAATAAAATGTGAAGATCATGGACCCCCACAACCTATTAGAATGAATTTCATCATACCTAAGTAAAATCAACAAAGAAAATAAAATGGAAAGCTAAAGCAATAACTGTTTCTAGGACAATTTTGCAAATTTCTGTTCATGAACCTAGTTGGAATGAAAAAGGTTAGGTACATTTCTTTCAGTATTTGTGTTTTCATATGCTAAATGTCATATTTTCTTTTTTCCTTGTACATTACTACCGGAGACCACAATGAGAAGTTCTGAGGTCAATAATTAAAAGGTGTTTGAATTTTAGTGTTTCATGGATCAGGCATGAATCCGTGTTGCTCACAACAATCTGGCCAGAATAATGTTTTATTTTATAGTATGTCAAATCTTCAATGCACAGATTTATAAATAAATTGAACCAATGATACAAGACCATCAATCTCTAGATAGTTCCTGGTGATAAAGGAACTACTTAACAATAAGAAGCTCTACGTGAAGGGAAAAAGACATTAAGAAGCTGCCCTTTCGACAATGACAGACAGATGATAGACAAGCTGAGGAAGGAAGCAGGAAAAGCTACTCAGCAAGGCCAAGCCTTTGTTGCACAGTTGGTCAGCTGCAGTGCACACATTTATTCAGATAATGTTTTAGATCCTAATCTCAATCCTTCATGGATTTCCCCATGTGAGATCAATGAAATCTTACCTGTATCCTGCCATTTCTATTTTGAGAAAGAAAACAAATATCATACACACTTCTACTTTGGGACTGTCATGCAATAATAATGGAAAAAGAAAAATATCATTGAGTGTTTTTGTCTATAATAATTAATATGCATTTTATTAGCATTCATGTGATAAGAGAAATGTAAAGGATTTATTGCAAAGAATTTTATTAGAGAAGTCAGTTGGAAACCTGAGGCTAACAAACCTTAACTACAGGAATGACTTATAAAATCTGTCTACATTTAAATGATCTCTTCATTGATAATTATTCAAGTACAATTATTCTCACTGTGAAAACAAACTCAAGAAAATTTCAATCACCAAATACAATGAAAAGAAATCCTCTTTTGAAATCTGCCTTTTGCTCTCTGCTGCCTCTGGCTTCCATTCCTCTGTAGAGGGATGTCAGTTCACTATATCTGCAGCTTTGGTACCAGTTTGCTAGTAACCTGGTCTTTCAAGTGTTCCCTTAGATTGTGCTTGAATAAGAGATAACCTCTGTTACTCCCTTGTGTAATCTGTTCCCTCTTCCTCTCTGGTAGCTGGTTAGTAGAGGGTAGTTACCCTACTCAAGAGGAACTCATCTGAAAGCACGAGTGGCTCAATCACAGTTTGTTTCTCAAGATATTGATCAAGTGACTCACATTCTACAGCAGTTGGTATTGGACCCACAGTAAGTGACGGAGTCATGTGAAACAGAAACACCTATAGTTGAGGTTCTGTGAATGCTCTGATCTGCTCTATATCTCAGTCTTGGATGTTTTTTCCTCAGAGACACAAATATCAGTGTCCCAAACATAACCTTCTTTTCATTTGGCAGAGTTTGGATAAATTTCTCTCCCTAATTTCTGAGATATTGTTATCTTTCTTCCAAAAAGGTTTTTTAATGCAGGAGGTAAATGACAAGCAGTCTGATGAGGTAATTTCTCTTGTCATTCTTTTTTTATTATTAGATTTCTAGTAAATATAAAATTCAACACACTTTATTTTACATATGTGATACTGGGCTGTCAACTCAGAATTGCTGAGAATCAGAGGGTGCAAACATCATTTTCTGAGCCTCATTAACACTTTTATTATAACATTATGTTCCCTCTTTCTTTACAGGTATATCCCTTAAATTTGTTGTCCAAGAATATTTTTTGACATTTTTACTCTTAAGCTTGACTTTATAAAAATAGTTTAGTATCTTATTTTCCATCAGAAGTCACCAGTAATCTCTTCAATACTTTCTTCATGCCATTTTTTACCTCCTTATTCCTGAAAGTATAAATCAGAGGATTGAATAAGGGAGTCAGGATGGTGTAAACTACTGTCACAATTTTCTCAGAGGAGAAAGTAGATGGAGGTCGTGCATATACAAACATGCATGGGACAAAAAACAAAACCACAATAGCAATGTGAGATCCACAGGTAGACAGAGCTTTTCTGCGCCCTTCGGAACTATGAGTTCTCAGAGAGAACAAGATGACAGCATAGGAGACAAGCAACAAAGAGAAGATTATAATGCAGAAAACCCCACTGTTGGCTAGGGCATAAAAGCCAAAGACGTGAGTGTCAGTGCAGGCAAGCGCCAGTAATGAATGCAAGTCACATAAGAAGTGATCGATGACATTGGGACCACAAAAGGGCAACGGGATAATAAATAGTATTTCTATCATGGAATGCAAGAAGCCCCCTGCCCAGGCTACTTTCATCATAATGCCACAAACCCTGCGGTTCATGATGGAAGAGTAATGCAAAGGCTTGCAAATGGCCACATACCGATCATAGGCCATGGCTGTGAGGACTATCGCCTCTGCCCCAGCCAAGAAATGTTCAGCAAAAAGCTGCATCATGCAGCCTTCAAAGGAGATGGTTTTCCTCTCATGGAGGGAGTCCACTATCATCTTTGGGGTTATGACGGAGGAGTAGCATGCATCTATGAAGGACAAGAAAACCAGGAAGAAGTACATGGGGGATCCCAGTAGAGCAGGGCTACTGAGAATCGTTACTAAAATTAGAGTGTTGCCCCCGATGGTGGCAATATAGACAAACAAAAATACAACAAACACTATTTTTTGAACATTTGGATTCTGTGAAAGCCCCAGGAAGACGAACTCAGTTACAAAACTTTGGTTTTGCATGATTTCCAAGGAAAAGCTGAAATATCCAACATTGATCAGCATGTAGCATCTGCAGTCATGACAAGGAAAACTTTGCTTCAGTTCAATTTATAGTATTATAGTCATCAATGAGTTGGTGTATCCATATTAAAATTATCTTAAGTGTTTCTGTTGTCACTGAGAACACAAAATTAGAAATTGTTGAAGTTACTAGTGAAAGGTCAGGCAGAATCGGGTTGGAGATAAATTATCGAATGCCTTAAAGGAGGCCATAGTTTCAATATGATGGAAAGAAAGCATCCACATGTGGTAGAGAAGAGAAATAGTTTTCATTTGAAGTGCCAGCTTTGACCATTTACTAGTGGCTTCCTGGAGTGAATTGTTGAGAAGCGTTCTGAAGCCACCTCCAAGTTATGAGGACAGGAGGACTGTAATTTATTAGTTATGCCTGCCATTGGCAGGAATGGGAGCAGAGGTGACCAGCATGACATCCTAATCTAGAGACTGCCTTATCTACAAATAGGAGAAGAAATAACATGCAGTTTAAAGGCCACTTGAAAGTCATGGCTGTTCCTAACATATCTCTTTTAAAGTCTGAACTCTTTCGGGCCTTTAACGGAACTTACTGATACTTTATAAAACAGAATGATCTGTGAAAAATTCCTAGGTGTAAACTTAATAAATAAATATTATGTACTAAATGTTGACTTTATTTTTAATCTGGAAGTTTAAAATGAGAAGTTTATAAAAATAATAATGCCAAATTGACATGGTGACCAAGTGAAGTAAGGTGAGACTCAGGACACACTGCCAAAAACACAGTCTGTGATAGTCATATTGTCCATGTTTGATTGGTGGGAAACTCATGCTTACAGAGGCTAAATTCAAACAAACAACAGATGCTTGACCTGGGGTTTCAACACAGAACCTCTGGCTCCGCTGGATCAATAGGGAGAGGAGTGGGATTTTCCTTTTTCTGCAAAAATGTCAGAGCAGGGGTGACCATTTTACAAGCACTAATATGTACATATACACATAGGCAAGGAAAAGAAAGAAGTTGCTTGTAAGTCATAGTCTTGAGGCTTTACTAATTATTTGCCAGTTATTTACACAATGTGGTCAGGTCTGGGCAGATATAACTACTAAGGATATACATGTTTCAAATTTACTTGATATTATCATAAAGCAGAGAGGTGTGTATATATTAACAGCTTACCTGCTCATTTCCCAGGATCATAATGTGGGTCAAAATTGAAAATGGGAAAATATTTCTTATGATAACATGCCCTTATCAATTGGAATTACTAGTAACTCAGTTACAAAGCCATCCACCTTACCCTCAGAAAGCTTCGGAATGAGTCATCCAGACAATTATCCAGCCATTGACTTCATTTTCCACAGGTAGACACAGCTTCACAGGAAGATTGTGTTATCATCTATACACATAACTGAAATGCGTTAGTCACATAGCACATATATATGTCTGTGTGTTTACATTTGTATTAGTATACATATACATATTTGTTAAAAATAGGTGAATAAAATAAAAATGTGATTTATTATGATGCTTACAAAGAAGCTGATATTTTATGAATGCCACTTAGCTTTAACAGAAAGAATCAAATGTTAATAAAACTAAGAAATACACAATTGGGTATGTTAATATCTTACCTTTGGGTCACTTTAAAACAACTATTTCCATTAGGTTTTCATGGTCATTCTTAGTGGTGTCTGCATGATGAATCCCATATCCAGTTATAAGTTGTTGGCAAGGAAACAAGAGATCAACCAAACCCTATAAGGTCGTGGGAACAGTCAACACTCACTTGTTAGAAATAAAAAAATATGAATATATGACGCAGCAGTGCTCAGCTTAGCCTAGGACCAAAGGAGGAAAGACAAGAACATCAGCTCTAGACTCACACAGACCTGGGTTCAAATCCAGGATCTTCTAATGGGGTAGACATGTTAGTAAAAATTCTCCAAATTCTCAAAACCTCAGCTGCCACTTGTCTAAGTTTGCATAAGAAGAATGTCTATTGATAGGGTTCTTGTGACAATCTGATAAAGCAACACATTCAAAAACACTGGTGCAGTAACAAGCACGGAATGTCATGATGAGTGGGGAGAACAAGCTCCCAGAGTCACTGACACTAAACAGAAGTTAAAACATCTTCAGTGTTAACTCCTACTTTACCATGACCAACACGGTTTTCACTCATCCTTTCTTTTGAGTTACAAATGTAATATATGTTGTTTGGTCATTGTCAGTACGGAAATTATATATTAAATATGTATACCGCTTTTAAACACCCTTCATAATTCCTGAATAAATTATTGTGGCTCTCAGAGCCAGTAGCATCCACTTGTATTTCAGATGGCTTCACTGTACAAATCCTGATGTGTGCAGTGTGCATGGTATGGGGGATGGACATGCTCGATGCTCTGACTCAGGTGGGACAAAGGTTATACATGCAACCTAAACATTTGTACCCTTGTAATATGCTGAAATAATAAACATAAAGTAAACCAAAACAAAATTAATTGGATGTGTGGTGGAAAGCAAGACAAGCTCGCTATTAATCGAATACTTACATAATTCTTAATCTCTCTATTTTATTTATCCAGAGTTTTCTAAGAGCAATACCATTTTAGAATTAAAATATTCATTAGATATAAACAACCCGTACTTTTTCAGATGAAAGGGATATTTTATGCTAGTGTTAAAATTTTGAAAATGGAGACTATAGTGTTGTCATGGTTTATGATCACAATAGTTATGATTTTAAATCATTTACAAGGTAATTGTCCAAAGGCACTATGTTGTCCCAGATTTAATGCTAAAACAGAAAAATGGCACAAATTAACAAATTAATGCAATGTGAATAAAATGATATTTAGTTAATAGTACTATATCCATATTCATTTAATAGTCTTGACAAACATACACATGATAATGTAAGATGATAATAGCAAGGGAAACTGAGTAGTACACAGGAACTATCCAAGATTAGTATCCAAGGAACTATCCAGGAACCATCCAAGGAACTATCCAAGGTATCTTAGCAACTTTTCTGTTAATCTACAATTACTCTCCCCAAAAAGTGAATGAAAAATAGAAGCAATTGTTCAATTTGTGCCAGTAATTCGCTAGCAATCCCAGCTTCATCAGGCACTAACCATGTGTCATTGAACAAAACACCATGCCTCAGCCTCCTGTACTGTAAAATAGTCACACTTGTTCAAGCTGCCCGACCCATGAAAATAAAACACAGTTGTTATTAATGTGTTTCGCAAAGCAGAAATCAAATATTGATGTTGGCATTATTTTTAGGCAGCATTCCCCTAAAGACATAAAGTGATTTGGAAAATTGAATCAGTCAAAAGAATATGACATGTTTTTTACATCATGCTATTTTTCACGTATACCCTGTTATTGGTGCCGAGTGCGAGAAAAGACCACTGAGTCTGAATTAAATTGAATTTGAGAGCCTTTATTAGCTGGCCAGGGACTGTTCCTGTCTTGCCAGACCCAATCACAGAGAACAGCTCTGAGCCATGACAGCAGAAAGCTGTTATACTATTTTGGGTGGGGGCTACATGACAAGAGGCACATAATGGGGTCAGGGTCTAGGTAACTAGAGGCACATAAATGTGGGTATTGTTTTCTACATTTTATCATATTCTTTCCAGATGGCAGGAACCTGGGGCTGGCCTTGAGCCCCTGCACGGAAAACTATATCAAAGCAAGCTATTTACAGAAGCAGATAGTGTCAGTCTGGGGTACATAAAATGCTACAACATGTGGCTGGCAGAATATACATTCAGTTACAACTGGATTGCTTTGCTTTCTTCTTACAACAATTTAAATTTCCCAGCACCGAGAAAGGTCACAAGCAACTAGAACCTTATTTTAGCTGACCTCAACATACCCATTCTAATACTGCAATAAAACTGCTTTATTCATGTAATCCTTTTGAAAAATATATTAGTAAGTAATTTCAGAATCATTAACATGTTTGTGTTTTTATACAAGTAACCTGAACCTTAAAACTTTATTCTGAAGGTCAATTGAAATGAGGAAGTTTTACAATGAAAGATGGTGCCATGTCATTTGTAATAGTGAAATTAGAGAAATATCTAAAATATTCAATGATAGGAAGAATTTTATCTAAATGAGGCTATTACAAATTAATACCACGTGGTGCTTAGGGAAAATAAAGTGGACATATTTAAAATCGGAGGACTCCACTCTCTGATGAAAGTCATGATTTCTTACCCTTAATGTCCTTTCCTGTGCCATTTGTTAGGCATTGTGGAAAGAGTAAATGCTGTATTCCTTTTTTTGTTTTTTTAAATTTTAGAGTAATACGAGGGTACAAATGTTTTGGTTACAGGACACTTGCACTTGAATGTTTATAGCAGCACAATTCACAATCTTAAGGATGTAGAAAAACTCAAATGCCCCCCAATACATGAGTGGATCAATAAAATGTGGTATATGTATACTATGCAGTTCTCTCCACCAATAAAAAAAATAGCGAATTAATACTTTTTTACTAACCTGTATGGAACTGGAGACCACTCTGCTGTATTCTGTATCAATAACTCTGTAAATGGCAGCACTTGAATTTACCACATTACATCAGTGTTCTTTAAACAGCCTCAGAAAATTCTGCTTTTTAATCTAAAACATCAGGATAGGGTGAGCATCAGAGGATAAATAATAAATAAGAATAGTTTAGAAAGAATAAATAAAATGTTATTGAGGAGCAAGGTCAAAAATATGCACTTGTTGCATTTCTAAGTCATTCAGTTTTAACTTGAATATGAAAAGGTGGAGATAGGTCTAGTTTCACTAGACTTGAAGTAATTAGTTGTTCCTACTGCCCTACCCCATCAAGCAAACAGATATTTGCATTCTAACAGCAGCTGTTCATTGGACAATTTATGAATCAAGTGCTGTTCTAAGGACTCCACTATTTGTTTTCACATCCTTTCAGCTTGCAATGTTATTATCC